AAAAAAAAAAACGCGGGAAATTTGCGATTTTCGCCGCAGGGAAACTGAGGCACGGAGTGGGGGGACCCCAAATCCTCCCGGAGCCCCCAAATGGGGAGGGGGTGGGGGAGGGGCGGGAACACACCCGGGACCCCCCAGGAAATGGGGGAAGGGCTTGGAGGGTCCCGAAATTTTGGGGTGGGGGGCGAGGGAACTCCGGTTCTCCAGTGGGGGCGGTTTTGGGGTGCGGCGACCCCCGACCCCCCTCCCGGGCTCAGTTTTGGGGTGCGGAGACCCCCAAAAACCCCTCAAAGTTCCCAATTTTGGGGGTGCAGGGACCCCCCCCTCCCGGAGTGGCCAAATTTTTGGGGTGCGCCCATGGGACCCCCGGCACTGCTGGGTTCAGTTTGGTGGGGGGCAGGACTCTCCCGACCCCCCAAAAATTCCCAATTTTGGGGGTGCAGAGACCCCAATTTTCTCATTTTTGGAGTTCAGAGAGCCTAAAGTGCCAAATTTTGGGGTGGGGGGACCCCGAACTCCCCCCGGGCTCAATTTTGGGGTGCGGGGACCCCCCAGACTTCCCAGTATGGGGCGCAGCGACCCCAAAGTTCCCAATTTTGGGGTTCAGAGACCCCAACCATCCAAATTTTGGAGCACAGGGACCCCAAATCGCCCAATTTTGGGGTGCAGAGACCCCAAAGTTCCCAATTTTGGGGTTCAAGGACCCCAGATTTCCCAATTTCGGGGCACAGAACCCCCAAATTTCCCAATTTTGGGGTTCAGGGACCCCAAATTTCCCAATTTTGGGGCACAGAGACCCCAAAGTTCCCATTTTTGGGGTGCCCCCCCCCCGGTGTCTCCGTGTCCCCCCTTAGGGACCCCGCGGTGGCAGCGAGGGCGGACACCGGGGTCCCCCCTCCCCCCCCAGGACCCCAAAGTGACACGAGGGACACGAGGGGTGGTGGCAGCGGCTGTGATGGGCACGGGGACAGCCCCGGGGACATCTGGGGACACTGGGGGGGGACATGGGGACACCCGGGAATGGTTGAAGGAGAGCCAGGGTGACACAGGGGGACAGGGAGGGCACCGGGGGTGGCACGGCTGGCACAGGAGGTGACACGGGTGACAGTCACTGGCCGCTGTCCCCCCCCCGTGGTGGCTCCTTGGGGGCATCCTGCTGGATGAAGAGCCCTGGGGACAGAGGGGACACCTCAGGAGGGGACCCTCGGTGTCCCCAAGCGTGTCCCCAGCCCCCTGAGACTATCCCTGGTGTCCCCAGGCTGTCCCCAGGCTGTCCCCAATGTCCTCAGTGTTCCCAATATCCCCAGTGTCCCGCTGTCCCCAATGTCCCAGTGTCCCCAGGCTGTCCCCAGTGTCCCCAGGCTGTCCCCAATGCCCCCAGGCTGTCCCTGTGTCCCCAGTGTCCCCAGGCTGTCCCCAATGTCCCGGTGTCCCCAGTGTCCCCAATGTCCCCAGTGTCCCCAATGTCCCAGTGTCCCCAGTGTCCCCAGGCTGTCCCCAGTGTCCCCAATGTCCCCAGTGTCCCCAATGTCCCAGTGTCCCCAATGTCCCCAGTGTCCCCGTGTCCTGTGTCCCTCACCGGTGGCCCTGGCGTGCAGTGTTGTCCCCGGTGTCCCCATGTCCCCAATGTCCCGGTGTCCCCAGGCTGTCCCCAATGTCCCGTGTCCCGTGTCCCTCACCGGTGGCCCTGGCGTGCAGCATTGTCCCCAATGTCCCAGTGTCCCCAGTGTCCCCAGGCTGTCCCCAGTGTCCCCAATGTCCCAGTGTCCCCATGTCCCAGTGTCCCCAGGCTGTCCCCAATGTCCCCATTGTCCCCAGTGTCCCCGTGTCCCGTGTCCCTCACCGGTGGCCCTGGCGTGCAGCGTTGTCCCCTCGGCGTCCCTCAGGTCACAGCTCAGGAAGAGTTTCCGGCCCTGGCGGCTCTGCAGGAGCGCCTCGAGCAGCAGCACCGAGAGCAGGGGGACAGGCCTGGGGACACAGGGGACACTGTCACTGTCACTGCCCCCCTGTGTCACCCTGTCACCCACAGGAGCACCGAGAGCAGGGGGACAGGCCTGGGGACACAGGGACACAGGGACACTGGGGACACTGTCACAGCCCCCCTGTGTCACCCTGTCATTATCACAGTCCCCCTGTGTCACCCCGTCACCCACAGGAGCACTGAGAGCAGGGGGACAGGCCTGGGGACACAGGGACACAGGGACACTGGGGACACTGTCACTGCCACAGCCCCCCTGTGTCACCCTGCCATTGTCACAGCCCCCCTGTGTCACCCCCAGGAGTGCCTCGAGCAGCAGCCAGTGGCCCTGGCGAGCAGCGTTGTCCCCAGTGTCCCTGTGTCCCCAGTGTCCCCGTGTCCCGTGTCCCTCACCGGTGGCCCTGGCGTGCAGCGTTGTCCCCTCGGCGTCCCTCAGGTCACAGCTCAGGAAGAGTTTCCGGCCCTGGCGGCTCTGCAGGAGCGCCTCGAGCAGCAGCACTGAGAGCAGGGGGACAGGCCTGGGGACACAGGGGACACTGTCACTGTCACTGCCCCCCTGTGTCACCCTGTCACCCACAGGAGCACCGAGAGCAGGGGGACAGGCCTGGGGACACGGGGACACAGGGACACTGGGGACACTGCCACAGCCCCCCTGTGTCACCCTGTCATTGCCACAGCCCCCCTGTGTCACCCCCAGCAGCACCGAGAGCAGGGGGACAGGCCTGGGGACACAGGGGACACTGTCACTGTCACTGCCACAGCCCCCCTGTGTCACCCTGTCATTGTCACAGCCCCCCTGTGTCACCCTGTCATTGTCACAGCCCCCCTGTGTCACCCTGTCATTGTCACAGCCCCCCTGTGTCACCCTGTCATTGTCACAGCCCCCCTGTGTCACCCTGTCATTGTCACAGCCCCCCTGTGTCACCCTGTCATTGTCACAGCCCCCCTGTGTCACCCTGTCATTGTCACAGCCCCCCTGTGTCACCCTGTCATTGTCACAGCCCCCCTGTGTCACCCTGTCATTGTCACAGCCCCCCTGTGTCACCCTGTCATTGTCACAGCCCCCCTGTGTCACCCCCAGGAGTGCCTCGAGCAGCAGCACCAAGAGCAGAAGGACAGGCCTGGGGACACCGGGGACACTGGGGACACTGTCACTGTCACTGCCACAGCCCCCCGTGTCACCCCCAGGAGCACCGAGAGCAGGAGGACAGCCTGGGGACAGGGGGGACACAGGGGACACTGGGGTCACCAGGGCTCCCTGTGTCACCCCTGTCACTGTCATGGCCCTTTGTGTCACCCCTGTCACTGTCACAGCCCCTTTGTGTCACCCTGTCACCCCCAGCAGGAGCGAGGTCCCCACGAGGACAGGCCTGGGGACATTGGGGACACACAGTGACAGCAGGGCCTGGTCACTGCCACAGCCCCTGGGTCCCCCCCGGTCACCTCAGTGTCCCCTTGTGTCCCCCCAGTCACCCCCGTGTCCCCTGATGTCACCTCAGTGCCCCTCCTGGTCACCCCAATGTCACCTGTGTGTCACCCCCATGTCCCCTCCTGTTCTCCTTGGTCACCCCAGTGCCACCCTGTGTCCCTCTCGGTCACCTCAGTGTCCCCCTGTGTCCCCCCAGTCACCCCCGTGTCCCCTGATGTCACCTCAGTGCCCCTCCTGGTCACCCCAATGTCACTTGTGTGTCACCCCCACGTCCCCTCCTGTTCTCCTTGGTCACCCCAGTGCCACCCTGTGTCCCTCTCGGTCACCTCAGTGTCCCCCTGGGTGTGTCCCCCCCCTCCCCTGGGGACACTCACGCCACCCTTGGGGACATTTGAGACACCCCTGGGGACACCCCCGGCCCTTGGGGACACGGGGGACAGTGCCACTCACGCCACGTAGTCGATGTTGAGGTTGGCTGTCACCACCCGCCCGGCCACCGCCAGCGCCAGCGTCCCCAGCGAGGTGTCGATGAGGGTGGCGATGGCACCGCCGTGGGCCAGCCTGGGGACAGGGGACAGCGGGGACACTGGGGACATGGGGACAGCATGGGGACGTTGGGGACATGGGGGACATGGGGACAGTGGAGACATGGGGACAGTGGAGACATTGGGGACATGAGGACAGCAAGGGGACGGCAGGGACACTGGGGACATGGGGACAGTGGGGACATGGGGACAGCAAGGGGTCAGCGGGGACATGGGGACAGTGGAGACATTGAGGACAGTGGGGACATTGGGGACACTGGGGACATCGGGGACAGCACAGGGACATTGTGGACATTGGAGACATTGGGGACAAGAGGGGACAGCAGGGGACATGGGGGTGACAGAGATGGCAGCGGTGTCACAGAGAGGACAGGAGGTGACAGGGAGGTCACGCTGGGTGTCCCTGTGGGAAGGGCCCGGGTTGGCACAGGAGGTGACAGTGGGTGGCAGTGGGTGACAGGAGGTGACAGCAGGTGACAGGGGGTGTCACTCACCCCAGGTGTCCCTCCAGGAAGGGCCCCAGCTGGCACAGGAGGTGACAGCGGGTGACAGTGGGTGACAGGAGGTGACAGTGTCCCTCACCCCGGGTGTCCCTCCAGGAAGGGCCCCAGCTGGCACAGGAGGTGACAGCGGGTGACAGGAGGTAACAGCAGGTGACAGTAGGTGGCAGTGGGTGGCAGCAGGTGACAGGAGGTGACAGAGGGTGTCACTCACCCCGGGTGTCCCTCCAGGAAGGGCCCCAGCTGGCACAGGAGGTGACAGGAGGTGACAATGGGTGTCACTCACCCCGGGTGTCCCTCCAGGAAGGGCCCCCGCTGGCACAGGAGGTGACAGCAGGGGACAGGAGGGGACAGAGGGTGTCACGCACCCCGGGGGTGCCTCCAGGAAGGGCCCCCGCTGGCACAGGAGGTGACAGCAGGGGACAGGAGGGGACAGAGGGTGTCACGCACCCCGGGGGTGCCTCCAGGAAGGGCCCCCGCTGGCACAGGAGGTGACAGCAGGGGACAGGAGGGGACAGAGGGTGTCACGCACCCCGGGGGTGCCTCCAGGAAGGGCCCCCGCTGGCACAGGAGGTGACAGCAGGGGACAGGAGGGGACAGAGGGTGTCACGCACCCCGGGGGTGCCTCCAGGAAGGGCCCCAGCTGGCACAGGCAGCGCAGGCGGCCCCCGGGCACGCTCAGGAACATGGCGAACTCGAAGCCGTCGCCGTCGCCCTCGATGGCCCTCGGGAACAGCCGCGTGTCCCTGTCCCCTGTGGCACCTGTGTCACCGGCCAGCCCCAGCACCTCTGCGGGGACAGCGCTGTCACCAGCCTGGGGACACGGCAGGGGCTGGGGACAGGGATTGGGGACACGGTGACACAGATGACAGGTGACAGTGACACAGTGACAGTGACACAGTGACAATGACACAGTGTCACGCACGCGGACGGTACTAGCAGAAGGATGGCAGTCATGACAGTGACAGTGACAATGACAGTGACACAGTGACAGTGACACAGTGACAGTGACACAGGTGACAGTGACAATGACACAATGACAATGACAGTGACACAGTGACAATGACATAGGTGACAATGACAGTGACACAGTGACAATGACGATGACACAGGTGACAGTGACGCACGCGGGCGGTACTGGCAGAAGGACGGCAGCTGTGACAGTGACAGCGACACAGTGACAGCGACACAGTGACAATGACACAGTGACACAGTGACAGTGACAGTGACGCACGCGGGCGGTACTGGCGGTAGGACGGCAGCCATGACAGTGACAGTGACACAGTGACAGTGACACAGTGACAATGACAGCGACACAGTGACAGTGACAGTGACACAGGTGACAGTGACAGTGTCACGCACGTGGGCGGTACTGGCGGAAGGACGGCAGCCGTGACAGTGACACAGTGACACAGTGACACAGTGACAATGACACAGTGACACAGTGACACAGGTGACAGTGACAGTGTCACGCACGTGGGCGGTACTGGCGGAAGGACGGCAGCCGTGACAGTGACACAGTGACAATGACATAGGTGACAAATGACAGTGACACAGTGACAATGACGATGACACAGGTGACAGTGTCACGCACGCGGGCAGTACTGGCGGAAGGACGGCAGCCGTGACAGTGACAGTGACAATGACACAATGACAATGACAGTGACACAATGACAATGACAGTTACACAGTGACAATGACACAGTGACACAGTGACAGTGACAGTGACGCACGCGGGCGGTACTGGCGGTAGGACGGCAGCCATGACAGTTACACAGTGACAATGACACAGTGACACAGTTACACAGTGACAATGACACAGTGACACAGTGACAGTGACGCACGCGGGCGGTACTGGCGGTAGGACGGCAGCCGTGTCCAGCCCTGGGCGCGGGCCCGGTCCCGCTGGTGGCCGTAGTGGCGCCGCATGCGCTCGCTCCAGCCCGCGTTGGGGACAGCCAGGTCCCGCGGGGGACACGGCTGGTGGCAGCGGCGCCGCGGGCAGGGGACGGGGTACAGGGCCCGAGCCAGCGCCCGGGCACGGCGCAGCATGGCCGCCGTGTCACCGAGATGTCACCGAGATGTCACCGTGATGTCAACGCGATGTCACCGCGATGTCACCAGGGTCACCTGCGGGAACAGGCGGTGACGTCACCGTTGTGTCACACAGCGCCGGTGACGTCACGCAGCGACGGTGATGCCGCTGCTGGCGTCACACCCGCTGGTGACGTCACCACCGGCGTCACACCAGCCACCGCCCCGCTGCCCGTGACGTCACCCGTCCGCCCCGCCCCCAGCTGATGTCACCGCGTCGGGAAGGGTCAGAACCCCAAAGGGGATCGAGGCACACATTTAGGGTCAAGGGAGGACCCAAGGTGGGTTTGGGGTGACACCCGCGGGTGGGCGGGGGGCACCCATGGGTGGGGGTCTCAATCCCCCTTGGGGGGGTCTCAGCTTGCAATGGGGGGGGGTCAGGACCCCCAGGTGGGCTCAGGACCTTTGTGGGGAGAGATCAGAACCCCAAAGGGGATCGAGGCACACATTTAGGGTCGGGACAGGATCCCAGGCGGGTTTGGGGTGACACCCCTGGGTGGGTGGGGGGCACCCATGGGTGGGTGGGGGTCTCAATCTCCCCAGGGGGGTCTCAGCCCCTCCAGAGGGGTTCAGGACCTTTGGGGGGTCAGGACCTTCATGGGAAGGGGTCAGAACCCCAGAGGGGATCGAGGCACACATTTAGGGTCGGGACAGGATCCAGGGCGGGTTTGGGGTGACACCCGCGGGTGGGTGGGGGGCACCCCAAGGTGGGCGGGGGGCAGCCAGGGGCGGGGGTCTCAGCGGCGGCCGCGCTGCTTCATGTGCTGCACGAAGTAGTCGTTGCAGGCGATGGTGAGCCCGGCCACCAGCGAGAAGAAGCCCTGGAAGCCAACGCGGCCATCGCGGCTCTGCTCCACGTCCCGCAGGATGCGGTCCAGGGCGTTGGGGTCCCGCTGGTTCTGGGGGAAAACACGGGGAAAATGGGGCAGATCCGAGATGGGAATGGGGTCAGATCCTAAATGGGAACAGGGTCAGATCCTAAATGGGAATGGGGTCAGATCCTAAATGGGAACGGGGTCAGATCCTAAATGGGAATGGGGTCAGATCCTAAATGTGAATGGGGTTAGATCCTAAATGGGAATGGGGTCAGATCCCACACTCTGCTCCACGTCCTGCAGGATACACTCCAGGGTGTTGGGGTCCTGCTGGTTCTGGGGGAAAATATGGGAAAAATGGGGAAAAAATGGGTCAGATCCTAAATGGGAATGGGGTCAGATCCTAAATGGGGACGGGGTCAGATCCCACATGGGAACGGGGTCAGATCCTAAATGGGAACGGGGTCCCACAGGATACACTCCAGGGCGTTGGGGTCCTGCTGGTTCTGGAGGAAAAAATGGGAAAAATGGGGAAAAAAATGGGTCAGATCCTAAATGGGAACGGGGTCAGATCCTAAATGGGAATGGGGTCAGATCCTAAATGGGAATGGGGTAAGACCCTAAATGGGAACAGGGTCAGATCCTAAATGGGAATGGGGTCAGACCCCACATGGGAACGGGGTCAGATCCTAAATGGGAATGGGGTCAGATCCTAAATGGGAAC